TGAGGACAACTATAAGACAGACTCTCTATCAGAAGCCACTCAGAGCAAGTTATTTTACTTTTATTAAAGTGAAAAAATAAAAATTATAATTAGGAAACTGACCCTAACTTTTGGCTTTTCCCTTAATATAAGTGGAAGGAAATATTCACACAATAATGTATATTATTTCATTTTTAAAAACTAAGAGATAATTGTCTTTAAAATATAAAGATCTTCTAGTTTACAATAAGACTCTTAGCTGTAAGCTAGTATGTCATTTCCAGTATGACCAGCCAGTAATTGTAATAGTCGTAAATATTATATGATTTCATCTATAATATCAACTCTGACTTAAAAGTTAGAGGAAGAATCTGTCTACATTTAAAGTTTTTATTTCTAGATATTTTTACTCAATAGATTTCTTTCAGCCTTTTTTTTTAAACTTTTATTTTTATTAATTTTATCATTGCGTTTTGAAGTGCTCTGTTCTTAGTGCAACGCACACATAGTGCAGTGGATAGTATGCAAGTTAAGTGGATGGGATTCCTCTCCTGGTAATCACTAAGAATATTGCATATCATGATAAATTCTCCTTTTAAATTTTTGTATGGCATTGCACATGGGGTTTAGTATTGAAGTATTTGCTTCTGATGCAATATGAGATAAATTCACTATCTCTGATATAGTGTTTAGACTGAAGAATTTGGGCTGTTCTAGACAGAACGTTTGATTTATGTTTTGAATAAATAAACCTTATTAGTTTAACGATGACTCATTCCTTAGCTGTGGTTCCAGATACTGGACCATTCAGTGCTAATCTTTTTATAGTTTATCCATAAAAAGTTAGAGTAGTAGATATGCTGCAGACATTTGAAATGTATGTTAGCATTGAATTTCTTTTGCCAATAGCTAGATAATTAAGAGACATCTTCCCAAATGATATATGTATATCATCTGAAATGCAAATTATGATTTTCTCTATGACAAATGAAAGCATAACTTAGTGCCAGAAAAATAAATTTTACAGACAGCTTTTGGTGTGTTTTGTATAGGGACTTTTTTAAAAAAATAAAATTGTTGGATAAGAAATCTGTTGGTTCTTGGGTTAGTGCAGAAAATACTACCAATACTTAGTAAAATAAGATTCAACAGAATGATTATTTTTTATTTATTAGGTTATATATTCAAGTAAATTCCTGGTTGTAGCATCCTGGGAAGAAATTGCCAGCACTTTCACTTAGTTCATCTTATATCTATATTTTAAGGTCAGAGTGATTATTTCTAAAATGTCCAAGTGAAATAAAGATACAGATATACTTTCATTAGTTAATAATAGGTTTTTTTTATAGTTTTTTTGACTGTTTACTAACTATGAAGTATACTCAGGTACCAGTCAGGATACATGAGAGATCCTAGTAAGTGCATATAATTTATTTCATTAACTCCCATTCGAGTGAGCAATTTTTTTTTGAGAATTGTTAAATTCTTTTAATTTTTTTTAATTAACTTATTAAAATTAGTTAAAAGATTCCTTCTCAGGTTAGTTCTGATCACCTACCAGCAGAGGTCACTTTTACTGAAGGGCCTTTTATCCCCCTTTCCTTATCTGTGGAATATAGTATTCTTAGTCCAGCATATTACAATAGTGTAGTAATGAATTTAGATTTTCAGTTATTAGCATTTGTGCTGTCTCTACTTCTAAAGGCAATCTTTTGAGTGCTTTTAACCTCCCTAGTTAGTTTTAAAGCAATGGTGATATAATCAAATCTTAAACATAGAGTATATCAGATTGAATAATGTTTTTTAAGAATAGTAACATTATTTTAATCCTTTGATTATAGAAATTTCTATTTAATTAGTTGCAATGACTTTAATTATTTCAAATTGTAAATAAGCTTTTTGTAGATGTAGAATGACACAATGATTTACAAATTATTAGTTGCCAGAGAATCACAAACTAATTTAGATTAGTTTTTTAAATTTCTGAGTGTTTTACTTATCAGAATATGACAGTAACTGAAAACTCTACTTAGCAACCTTTGAAAACCCTGGCATGATTACAATATGAAACTTTAAAGCTCTTACTTTGCATTTGATAATTTCAGAAAAGTAAATGTTATTTAGAATACAATTTTTTTAGCTGCTTGCTTATTCTTTTATAATAGTCTGTTCTCATATACTGTACTTCCTCAATGTAAATGGGAATAGTGTACTAACTAGTTTATGTGACTCACTTGTCAAAAATCATAGTTAAAATCACAGTCAGTTTAACTGAATATTGGTAGCTGTGTGTATAGCAAGTGCCCTGAAACTTTATTAGCTCTCTTTCCAGTTCTTTAATTTGGAAACTTAAAACATATAAAATATTTAAAAGAATAGCACAACAATCACCTGTATATCCACCTTGTATATCCAGCAATTATTAATGTTTTACAGTATTTTTCTTTGTGTATATATATATGTTGTCTAGGCCATTGGAAATTAAGTGACAGACATCATGACCCTTGACCTCTAAACACTTCAGCATCTATCTCCTGAAACATAGAATAGTACCATTATCATATCTAAGAAACTATGCAGTAATTTTCTAATGCCAGCTAATTACAATTCTCTATTCAAATTATTCCACTTGTCCCTCAAATATATTTTATAGAGAGTATTTGCAAACTAATATTTAATCAGAATCTGCATATTGTACTTCAATTGCTTTACAGATTTAGTACCAATAGAAATTTATTTAACGTAGTATCTTTTCTTCCCGTTTTCAGATACAGATGTATTTATGTTGGTTGTTTTCATTAAGAACACCTGATATTGATACAGGTGAAGTAGAATCTGGTTGCAAGTAAGATATGGAATTTACAAGTTGTTGATAGGAGTTTAAAATGTTTTTATTCTAAAAATGAAAAATGGCTCTAAATTCTTTTATATTTTATTAGATATATAAGACATCATAGAAATATGTATGTTATATGGATATTCTGTTTATTTTATGGAGAACAGAAATTTGGTCTAATCATGCTTCATATGTTTTATTAGAAGTCAATGTACTCATTTTATTAAAAACATTTTAGATTTGTACATATGAAGAAAATGGATTTTCTTTTAGTATTTTGGAAACTGGTAGCATTTTTAGAAGCATAAGCCAAACCACAAAGATTTTTAAACCAAGATTTGAAATTACTCAGGCTGTAAATGTATTTTAAAAATTATTATACTCTTAATAAATTCAGAAAATAGCAAATAAGATAATTTTAATGTAGCTATTGTTTAAAATATGAATCTGAAACTTTGTGTGAATGTGTTTTAAGTGATTTTTTTGGAGGATGTGTGATATACTTGAAATAACGTTCATCTAGGACCCAAGGTATCTTGGTCTTACTTCTGTCTTTGTTATTTAACAGTCATCTGACCTTGGGCAAATATTTTGCCCTCACTGATTCTGGTGTTATTTTCTGTAAAATGGGGGTAATATCAGTTCTGCTATCTTGATAGTGTTGTTTCTTATATGAAATAAAGACATGACAGTAGCTTGGAAACTGTGATTCTTAATAATAATATAAGATGTGGGTTAAATAACTTTACTTACCTCATTTTTAGTATGAAAACTGAGTAAATAAATTGAATCTCTCAAAATAAGAAACATTTAGTCATTTTATTGGGTAAAATAAAATGTGTATTGTATGTTACTATTGTATATTGTTTCTTCTGAGTTTCAGAAATTTATGTTGCTAGAAATTGTTTTGATAAATATTACTCAGAAGATAAATGCTTAAAAATATATAGCATTTGTCAGACTTATGGTATAAAAACACCCCCCTTTTAGTTGTAGATAGACATAATTCCTTTATTGTTTTTAATATGGTGTTGAGGATGGAATCTAGTGCCTCACACATACATACTAGGCAAGCGCTGTATCACTGAGTTACAACTGCAGCCCCTAAAACATTAGCCATGTTGAAAATTTGTATAGAAAATAAAAAATTCCATTTAAGGTTCAGCTCACATGAATATGGAGAAATTACACCTAATGAGAACCTTGCTAGTGTTAGTATTGTGATGTTTTATCATCACCAAATAAATATAAATATAGGCTGGTAATATCCCTCATCCCAAATGCTTGGGATCAGAGATGTTTAAGATTTTGGAGATTTTTAGACTTTGGAATATTTGCATAGACATTACCAGGTGAATATTCTAATCCAGAAATCCAAATGCCCCCAAGTCTGGGAAGTTGGAACTCAGAAAGTTAGTAATTTTGGAGTAATTTGGAGTTCAGATTTTTGGGTTAGGAATGCTTACTTAACCTGTATCTGCTTTCCTTGGTTTTCTTTACTTGCTACTTGTAGTATGTGCCTAAATAACTACAACACTAGTGCAGTTTTTATTCTTCGAATACATTATCTTATCCTTCAGAATTTCATCACTGTTTTCATACAAGTAACCTTGACAGGACTTGCAAATCAGGAAACTGGATGGTTGTTCTATTTAAAATAGGTTATGACAAGGGATAAAAAGAAAGAATTTCAGTTCGTAGAATTGTGACACGGACAACATTTTAGTGCTTTGTCTCCTGAAAATTTTCACCTCCATGTTCCTCATTTAAAAAGTGTTACAAGAACCTAACATAACTAGTTCATAAACAGATAATTATTGAATTAACTGTATTTAGTCTTAAAAATTTCTACTTTGTTCTAAAATAATCCATCTTGAAGTTAGTTCACCTTGAAGCCCAGTTTTCTTTTATGGCATTTCCATAGGTCTTTGCTAGACATAAGCACATCTTATTGCAGAAATTAAAGGTATTGTAGTATGTATTAATCTATTTTGCATGTAGATCTCTCTAGATAATTTAAAGCCACTGATGTTTTATTTATCTTCATAGAATTGTATAAAAAATTCTTGTGTATATTTTTAGGAAGTAAGCTCTTAATCTCTTAAATATAGAAAAATATTCATATTCTACTCATCTAGCTTTTTATTGTATTAAACTTATATCACATTCTTCTCTTTTTAAACAGAGATGTGCTCCTGCATCTATTCGCCTCATGGACAACCAGCAGTTTCAGTTTGGTAAGTAAGGAGTGATAATTTTAACATATGCTCATTTATTCTCAAAATTTTCAGCACTAGAAAGATTAATGTCATAGTTCCTGCCATTCAGGAAGCTCTCTCAGACAGTTACATAAATGAATGAGTTCAGTAGTGTTGGAGAGACTATGAAAGAAGACTGCATTGGATCCTGTATAGATTTTTAAGTGAAGGAACAGTTGATTCTATTTGATTTTGTTCAACCTAGGGGTTGAAAGTCAGAAAAGACTTTTAAAGGAGGGTGATACTTGAGCAAAGTCTTAAAAGGTAAATAGAAGTTTGCTCGAGATTATTTCTTCCTTACCACACTCATTCACTTGTAAACAGAAATACAATTTTTTTTCAAGAGACTTAGGCAGGAGTATCAAAAGTTTGAGGGCATTCTGAGCAACTTATTGAGACCCATCTCAAAATACAACAATAATTAAAAAAAGAAGCTGGGGATATAGTTCAGGGTTAGAGTACTTTCTTAGTATGCACAAAGCCTTGGGTTCAATACCCAAGGGCTGCCTCCCCTCCCCCCCCCAAGTTATGAAACCTCAGTGACATGTTTTAGGATACTGGGAATCATATTGTTTACCTCAAATAGAGGGTAGGACAAGGCTTGTCATATGAAATAAAGCTACATGGGTCATTTAGGGCTTTGCAGAATAGATTTGTATTTTATCTTGTAAGCTATGGGATTTCTTTGTGGAGGGAATAGAATCATCTTTACATTTCAAAAGCTCATTCTGGCAGTTTTGCTCAGGGTGGGTTAGAAGGGTACAGACATGAAACAGCTCAAGAGGCAAATTTTGGGACCCATGAGTAAGGTAGAAATAATGGAAATAGAGTAGAGGATAGATTTTTAAAAATCAGCTAGCCAATTAGATGTGGAAGGCTAAATAAAGGGAAGAGTTGAAGTAAAAATGGTCGATTTGGGGGAAAAATATATTACAATGGATTGTATCTAAGGTGCCATTGGGCTCTTGGGGTGAAGAATTCAGTAGGTATTTGGATCCAAAACCATTTTTCTTTTCTACCTATATGTCTAAATTATTGAACTTTTGATACAATTTATTAATCATGTTTTCAATTCTAGTTTTTTTGTTTCCATATTTTTTTTCACGTGCTGAAATTTACTTTGGGATTTGAGTTTGTAGAATTTAAATACCTTCAAAAGAGTTCCTGAGCCAGGCATGGTGGTGCTGTAATCCCAGCAGCTCAGAAGACAGAGGCAAGAGGATTGTAAGTTCAAAGCTGGCCTCAGCAATTTAGCAAGGCCCTAAGCAACTCAGTGAGACCCTGTCTCTAAATAAAATATGAAAAAGGGCTGGGAATGTGGCTCAGTGGTTGAGTGCCCCTGAGTTCAATCCCTGGTACAAAAACAAAACAAAACAAAACATCAGTTCCTAAAATTATGGAAATTATTGTTCAGTAATAAATACCAAAGGCTAAGGTAGGCAGATTTTATTGTTGTTGTTGCTGTTGTTTTGTTTTATTTTACTTTTTTTGTAGTTTAGGGATTGAACCCAGGGCTTTGCACATGCTAGGAAAGAACCACTGAACCACTGAATTATTCCCCCAGCCCTGAAAGGCAGGCTTTTGTTTGTCATGTCTGAAAGTTGCTTAGGTTTTAATACAGGGAAAAATATTATAGTTATGTAGAAACTTAACTAGGAAAGTCAGGTTTATATCAAGAATTCATTTTTAAATTAGATTCTTTTTATTCACAATTACTTCTTTAATAAATTACTTTCAACATACTATAGTATTAAGAAACAAAAGTTGATAATTGTATCCTATAAATAATGAGATATTTAAGTCAAATGAAAATCAAGGCTCTAGTATGTTTGGCTTGCTTTTGGAGATCTATAGAGCCATGTATATAATTAATAAAATTATTAACTATTTATGTGATGATGTTGTAGTACATTATGTTAGACATAGGCATCTTTTGAAACTATAATTCTGACCATGTTTTTTTTTTTTTTATAATTGGGTTTTGTAGCAATTTAAAATGAGAGTTTAAGGAAGAGGTCTTTCTGGCTGTCTGCCATCTGTGTTCCACATTCTCATTATATACCGAGAAACATGCTCACATAGTCCCTTCTAGTTCTATGGTAGGACTTAATTCTTTCTAGTACTGATCATGTCTCCCTTCTGCTTTTTATTTAGCCACCATAGTATTTATTTTGAATTACAGATCTGGTTATGCTTCTTGGTTGGCTGTAGTCTTTTTTGATTCTTCAGTTTGTTTTGAAGTCTTTCCTTCTATATATATTGTCATGACCTTGTGATAAACAACTAAAAGAGTAATGCTTAGCACAGCAATTCAAACTCTACAATAGCCTGCTTATTTTTAGTGTTTGTGTCATACTGATTAATAAAGCATAAGCCTTATTCACAAATGGTGAATATTTTTAATATTACCACTTCTTGTAGTAAAACCCCTATTACATTATGTTTAGATTATCTGTTTTCAGTATATTGAAATGATCTATGGATTTCCTCTGTAGATCAAAGTTTCTCAAATTTTAGAGGATGTATTTTAGTAATTTTTAAAATTTCTTGCATTTATCACATTGTCGGCATTTTTAAATTTTGTATTTTTGTGGTTCTATGGATCAACCCAGGGTCTTTCTTGCACATGCAGGGCAAGTGCTCTACCACTGAGCTACATCCATATTCCTTTATTTTTTATTTTTATTTTTGAGACAGGATCTTAATTATTTGCCTAGACTGGCCTCAAACTTGCAACCCTCCTGCCTCAGCCTCTCGAGTAGCTAGGATTCCAGGTGTGCACTATCGTTCCTAGCCATAACAGGCATGTAGTTGTTATTTGAACATTAATCATTGCATTGGTAAAGAAGGTAAGCATATCCTAAATAGCTCTTAGCTCATTGCTAAGCACATTAACTTAGTATAATTTATGAAATCCTTCCCCACAACTGTTCTTCAAGGTGGTATTCCCATTTTAAAAACAATTCAAGGCTCAGTATTTTAACCAAAGTCTGCAAGTCCTGTTTGGTAGAGCTGAGATTGAACTCATTTAGTTTGAATCCAAAGCCCAATACTTTTTACACTGTTTCAAACCACTTCTTTGAAACATACGTGGTTAATATATCCTTTTTAATTAATTCAAATTGTAGGAACAAAAAATGCACTGTCAAGCTGTTTGGAAACCAAATTACTAGAAAAGATAAAACGCTAGCTGAAATATATTTAGAGTATAATTAATCTCATAGGTAGCATTAATTTAAGAAAAAGTAAAAGATAACAATATCCTCCAAGTAGTACTAATGCTTAACTCAAAAGTCAGTGTCTCTTTTGCAATAATTTATTTATTATTCTTTAAAACTATCATGTCAACTTAGTATTGGAGATGTGTGTGACTAATTGCTACTGATGTAATGGAAATTATACTAATAAATGTCAGTGGATTATTTACCCTTAAGGAGTATTTCATATTGGAGCACTAACATTTGGATCTCTTATGCATTGTGTAAAGATAAATGAATGAGAAAACTTTTATATGAATAGCAATTTCCATTTTGCAAAAACACAACACATACTCAACATATGTTTACATGTTTATTTTCAATTGTTATTCAGATAGGATGACTTCCATTTGGTGCAGGAAGTGTTTTGTTGATACGTTATTTCTAACTTAAATCATGCTAAAAATTATATCAAAAAGCACTGGTTATTCTGGAAAAGTATCTCTGATAGTTCACAATAAAAAAAGAAAAAAATAACTACTTTTGATCCAGTAGCTCAAAAGGATTGCCAGGTGGATCTCCATCTAATCTGCAGTTCTTTTGGAGTGTCAGGGGCGGCAGGGGGTTTGTTTTAATGCCTCAGAGCATGAATTTCTATTAGCTCCTGGTTAAGACTTATGTTACGTGTCCTTTTAACAGTTTCCTATTAGAGACAGCAAAACTGTAGTATCACGGATTCATAATTTCAATTAAAAAAATAGGTGGGTCAGAAAAATAGACTATCAGTGATAGTTGTTTTAGAAATGTTTGCTTTTGTACTTATTTTAGAGGGAAGTCCTGCTCTTTAAAAACAAACAAAATCCCTCAAACTTGAAAGGCTTTAAACAAATTAATCTTTTTTTGGATATGATTTTAGATTTAGTAAAGACTTTAAAATTCTTTATAAATTTTTATATAAATGGTTGCCATATTTTTCTGAATTGGGCTCATAACATTAAAGCCAGATGCATGACTCTTAAATGTAGCAGTCATGGAAGTTGAAGTTGCTGCTCTTTGAAAACAATGGGGAAACAGTAAAAGGTTTTCACTCAATTAAGCTTAATCCGCAGGCAAAGATGTTAATTTAACAGACTCTGAGACACTGTTTATGTTATTTTGGCAATTTTAACTCTCTGGGTGTGATTAAGAAAGCAATTGCTAGTTTTATGCCAAGAATTCGGGATGAGTTAAGAATTAATTAAGAAACAACCTTAAACTTTGCATTGACTCCATATTTGGTTATACTTCTGAGTGGTTTCTGTATAATTAGAAAAATAAAAGTAAAACCAGCCACCATTGGGAGTTCTTAATAAAATAAAAATTAATGAACTAGTTTTAGTATGTATAAAATACATCATTGAAAGATGACCTAAACTATGTGTAGTATTAATTACATGTGGTAATTTGAATTTAACAAACAGAATGGGTTTTGTAAATAAAAAGTTGTGATTTTTGAAAGAAGGGAAAAGAAAAGATGAAGATCTTAATATAAATATACATAATATAGATTTAAAAGTTAAAGGCATAAAACTTTCACTTTTAGACTACTAAGTAGTCTTTTAATCTTCTGAAAATATCATTTGCTATTAATTTAATATAGAAACTTTTTTCTCAGGTCATGCTCTTAAACCTCAGGTTTCCTCTATTTTTACATCATTTTTGGATGGATTAAAAAAGTTTTATATTACAAAGGTAAGAATTTTTATAAAATGCTAAATGTTTAAATACTTGGGATTTTAATTTGGTTTCCTGCCTTCTTCCTCTCACAGACGCCTATTATAAGGATGTTTGTTCTTATAATAGTTGCTGTGTACATTTTATAATTATTGTTTTTCATATTGGAATAATATTAAATCAGTCATGTAGTCATTTTCAAAAATTTTTCTTTTCTAGTTTTGAGGTTTCTAAAAATAATATTCATTGAACAGTCTCATGCACATTTTCTAAGAGTATGAATTTTTATTTAAACTTTGCTGGATTGCTTTCCTAAAACATATACCAGTGTATAGTACTGGCAGCAAAATGTGTGTCATTTTTTTGTTGTGGCCTTATTATTGCATATGGGTTTTTGTTCTTGTTGCTTTTTTATGTTTTAAATTTATTGGGAGAGGAATAGTCCTTTGTTTTAGATGATGTTCTTCAAAATCAGTGAGACAAAACATTTCTTTATATTTTCTAGATGTAATTTTTCTCTGAGTTAGTTGAATATGATTATTTTGCCAAGGTGATTGATTCCTTTTTTTCCTCTGCTATGTTCTCTTTGAGGAATTATTAGAGATCCTTTGTTGTAAATTTTGTAAATAAATGTTTTCACTCCAGTACTTCCCATTTAAAAAGAGATTTTTCTTTTTGGTGTTAAAACTTTAAATTTTTTAAGCTTTTTCTGTAATTATTTAATTGCTTCTAAGTTTAGAAGCTTCGTTCATCTGGACCTATGATTATGACCATTTGCTTTTCTCTTTTGTGTTGAATGAGAATTTAAAATTTTTCCTTATTACACTTTAATTTATTTCAATTTTATGATATGAAGTAAAAATCTAAAGTAATTTTCACCTTCTGTACCCAGTTGGTAACCAGTTGAGTCAACACCATTAACTAATTAATCCCTTCTTCTTTCATTGTTTTGCCATAACCAACACATCTTCTCATAGTATTTATCAAATAAACAAACTCCATTTGAATTCATTTTTTAAAAAAATATTTATTTTTTAGTTTTAGGTGGACACAATATCTTTATTTTATTTTTATGTGGTGCTGAGAATTGAACCCAGTACCCCACGCTTGCTAGGTGAGCGTGCTACCACTTGAGCCACATCCTCAGCCCCTGAATGCATATTTTTAAGTGAGCTTTTTGTTCTTGAGAAATTAAATGGGTTTAATTGTTGTAGGTCTGATTTTCTCTCTTGTTATTCAGAATTTTCCTTGAGGTTACTATCACCTACCTCTATTCTATTCTAGAAAAAATTTTAGAAACTCTTAATTTTCAACAGTCCACTGGAGTTCTTACTAAACTCAGAATAGAGTAATATATAGGTTTGTAATGCTTAGTTTATGCATTCAGGAACATAAATCTTAATTATATTTTTTAGGTGTTTTCCTAATGAAGTTATATATTTCTTTATAAGATTATTTCTCTTAGTTTTATGTTTAAGATCTCTTTTGAAAGTATTTTTTAATAAGAAGTTCTTATTAGTATGTAAGGATACTCTTGTGTTCCTCCCTATAACTAGCTACTTTATTATTTTGTAGTTTTTATTTAATTCTTTATTATAATTCTGTTAATTTGTTATATTTATATATCAATATGACATTTGATTTAAACCATGGCATACATGGTTTTATATGATTAAAATCATGGAATACATATAAAATGTTTTTTGTATGCTCTATAGTTTTATGTTGTAATGACCTGCATAGGTGCATTAAGCATTCTTATTGATTGAAATTTAAAGTTCCGAAGTTCAATTTTTAAAAACTTGGTGTATTTGAACTCAGACCAGAAGGAAAAGAGCAAATGCATTTTGATTTACTGTTGTGCAAGGTTAAACTCATCTGTAATAAAATATATATTTTTTTTTAAGTTTAAAGGATTTGATCCAAATCAGCTAAGTGTAGCCACATTACTATTTGAGGGGGACCGTGAGAAGGTTCTTCAACATGAAAAACAAGTATATGACATTGCTGCAAAATTTGGGTATGTCTTTAAGTTCTTAATGCCAAGAGAATAATAAGCTAGAATTCTAATATCTCCAACCAGTTATTAATGCACCAAACTGTAATGTTTATAAACAGATTGCATATCTCTAGGCAGTTATTAATTTAAATTTCATTTTAAATTTCTGTTAATTTATGATAGTAAATTTAAAATACTGTTTTGATTTACTTCCAAAATTTGTAAGAAGTTAGATTGATTGCTCTAACTTATCTAATTATATATGGAGTATATAAATATTATTTTATTGGTCATTTGCACTAATACCAATTTCATATTTGTGTGGTAAAGTAGGAAAAAATTCATTGTCATGTTACTCTTCAGTGAAAATAGTGTATATATAAAACATGCTATTAGTGTATTTTTAAAAGGAAATTAAGTTTAATCCCTGGTATTTGACAAATTGTCTACACTCCACCCCGTGTCATTTACAGTTTTGTGCTGCTATAAAGAAACAGAAAACATTTCACATCTATAACCAACTGAATAATGATAGGGTGGTTTTTGTCTGTCTGCTTGATGGATTATCAGACTGATCAATGAGAACTATAGTGGAAATGCCATTTATCAGGACTACATTTTTTCTTTTCTAAGTACATAAATTATCAGTTTTATGGATACTAGTCTTACTTTTTTTGTTTGTTTCAGTGTTAAAATATAGCATACACATTATGCTTAGTCTGAGTTCTTTCTAATACTTTTATTCTTTTTTTTCCTTCTAAGCCAACAATTGAACACTTAATTTGGAGCTGTGTGTTTTAGAGTATCCCACTTGTACACACACACACATACACATACACACTTTAATATGTAACTAGCTTTTTACTTCCAGGATTGTCTGAACAATGTTGAAGTGAAGTATTGTCAGAGTGGAAAAGGGTATAACCTTGGGCTTAAGTTTTAGTTTATTATTGTACTGGTTTTGAATATTAAAAATTAGACTCTCACATTTTTCCCCCTATTCTGAAACTGGCAAGTAGAATTTTAATTTTCTTTAGTAACAGATAAAGTTCATTAATCTTTCAAACTTTCTCTGCTAAAGTTTTTATATGTTACCTTTTGGAATTACTGATGTTTTAACTAAATTAATTAAAAATAATTATGCTATAAAGATTTATTTAATGATCAAATTGCTTGGCTTTCAGGTCATCTCATTTTTGTTTGCATTTTTAAAATGTGCATGTTTCCCTGCCCAGAAGGAATTTGGCATTATTTGTATACCTACTGCTTAGGAAGTAGGTACTCACAGGTGATAAGTAAATTTTAATGAAAACATTTATCTCTTCTCTAGTCTTTAATATTAGAAACTGAAACATTAAATTTTTAAAATATATTTAAGTATTTAATTGGGACTATAAAATTTTTCAGAAGGACTTGTAGGGAAATGTAAGAAGACATTTTCTAGTAAGTAATGTGTCACATTTCCTGTTAGATGATAAAAAGTACCCATTGATGATAAAAAGTGCCCATTCTGTATTACACTTAATTTTTTTAATAAGGCATGATTTGTCTGTTCCTGGGCCTCACTCTTGATACTTGGAACATACTTGAAATTGACTAATCATTTGTTGAATGAATTGATGAAGCCAAGCTCTGTATTTTTCCCTGATATCTTTTTTTTTTCCTAATTCTTGTATGCCTATTACCTGTAAGACAGAGTATTTTAATCTTTAGATGGTTTTTCAGAACCATATTATCAGTTTTGTTTGAGTAATCAATTTCAGGCATGTCAGTAATGCCGTTTGTTTTCTCACATCACACCATCAATTTATAGCTTATAAATAAGAGTGAATCTTCTTTCAGATACAGGGTTCAGCTTGCCAGACACTGATACTAAAGCTCCAGAACTGTTGGTTTAATTCCAACATTTTGCTTACTCCAAATAACACTTCTACCAGATTTACCCATTAAAAATAGATTATAGTAAATGAGATATTAATTTAAAGCAGAGATAAACTGTTAAAAACATTGGCTCAAATTGGTGTCTCGTGTTTTTGCTATTATTTATTCCTTTTTAGTTACATTACAATTAATTTCTTAATGTACTTTCTTCCTGGCTTCCTTCATTTAGATGCAAAAATCTTTGGTTTTGAGCAACCCATATTGTTGGTTAGGAAAATGAACTTTTTTTTTTTAAACTTGGAAGTATCTTATTTTGATTTTCTATCAGAGGTCCTGACTGCCCCCTTGTTTTCTGTTAAAATTTTTTTTTTTGGTTCTAATTATTGAAGACTCAGGGGTATTTTTCTTTAAGGTACCACTCCGAAAACCCTGAATCCTCAGTCACTTTTTCATAACAATTTAGAGGAAGGCACCACCAACTTTTTTTCTGCTAAAGTTTTTATATGTTAATTTAGTTCATGTATTTAATTTTTAATTAGGGCTTTATTAATCTGTCCATTATTTTCTCTTCCTTTTGTCCTGTATTCCCATTACCTTATTAGCTAAAGTTGATTGCTTTTAATGAAGTACTCTGAACAATCTAGAATACATGTTATCTTAGCCATTTTGTCTCTTTATCTTCCACTCCACTCCGACACTGTTAAATACCTTTGAACATATGTGACGCAGCACAGCCTAGTAACCAAATTTTGAATAATCATCATACCTTGGCTGTTTATCCTTGTTGGCTAAATGATTTTACTTTTCTAAGAACTGAGGAGAATAAATGTTACTTGTCAGCACTCATGACAGGTGTTTTGACATTTACCATAGAACTTAAGGTAATATATTATCATTATTTTTAAAGTGTGCTTAAGTTGCTTAACATAATTCAACATGAGAGTGATTAGGTTTACCAGATGGCCCTTTTATATAAATGATTGTCTCATTCCTCTTTCATTAGTCTTCCCAGTGCTTCCTCATGAAATAGCTTTAAATTTGTTCAAGAACCATGAATTAATGTCTGAAATTTGCAAAGAGCAGGAAATAAGGGATGGAAGTTGCTACTTTAAAATAAAGCAGTTTGAATTTAAATAGTTTTTTTTTTTTGTAGTGGTTACATAAGTGATTGTGTTCATGTTGTATGACACAATTGTATCTTAAGATAATTCAGACTAGAAGATTGACAGTTTTAAAAACTTAAAAAAAAATAAAGAAAAATTCTAAAACGCTAAATTTGCCAGAAAACATAACTTGGAAAGAATCCCAAATTGACTTTTTTTCTCCTTTGGGGTTTATGAATTTAGAATGGACATCCAATTTCAATCTCTTCCTACTTTAGGTAAAACAATGCATGTTTCTGTGTGGTTTGTCCCACTGGATCCCAGTGTGAAACAGAAACCGTCACCAGATGTTAGAAGAGAATCTAAAGAGAAGTGTCTTGTCTGGGAGAGGAAAGAAGGACTTTTTCTCAACCGTACTTAACAGAGATAGGCCAACTGAATATTTATTCACACCTGTTACTTCTCACCATATAACATATTTAGCATGCTCCTTCTCAAAGATTCCTAGCACAGGTATCTTGTACCCTTTTTTAGGCTTCACTCTTATTTCCTTTCCTTCTACTTTTAGTTCCAAGATGAACCATTTGTATTTTCTAGATCTATAGCGTTTTTTCTCCTTTGGTTTTAATCTTGACTGTTTCATATCTACGTGAGTTATGGGTTCAGCTGTTTTCCTCCAAGCACTTGTCCCTGCAATGTTCTGACATGTGTTCCTTTTGTTTGAGGACTTTATTTGGCTCTCTACCTACAACCTCACATCCAACCCAGTACTGTTTTTCTGTGTTTTCTTACTTTTCACTTTCAGCAATGCTTCTTTCTTGTTTATAAACATTCTATTAATACAAACAGTTCCCCACATTTCATTATAGCCTGTCCTCAAGTAGTTCTAGACTAGAGCTATTCTGTCAAGCCTGCTACTCCTTCTAGCTAACACTAACTTGTGTTTATCCATCCAGAATAGAAAGTCAGGAAATTCTGAATAGTTTAGATTTTAGATTTTCAGATTAGGGATACTCCGCCTATATTAATAAAATAAGAATATTTAAGTGTCTTGTTATGCATGTGAGAATTAAGCTTATTTAAGCTATTTTTCATGACTAATTCTCTGCTCTTTTTGAGAATATGAAAAGTAATATAAATCAGCTTTATTAGTGTGGTGGATAAATTTTGAAATTAATGACTAGACTGAAATATTAAAAATATTTTTAGATTTTTGTCTAAACTTATTCTCTTGATATCTCTTTGATATAAATGAAATTAAGATAAAAATGAGATGTAATCTGGAAAAGCAGTTTTCTTTAGATATCAAATCAGTTTGGTTACTTTTATATATTTTTTAATGGTTCATTTAAAACGTATTAACAGTTTGTTCTTTAATCACAGTGGATTGGCAGCTGGAGAAGATAATGGGCAGAGAGGATATTTGCTGACCTATGTCATTGCATACATTCGAGTAGGTTACATCATATTTCCCTTGTCATTTAATTTACATTGCACATAATAATCTTTCCTACTTTGAATGAAACCATAGTTTTAAGTTTCTTAAACATCTTAAGATATGATAATTAAGCACATCATTTACATGAACCCTGCATTAGCTGTGGGTTTACAGAAGCCCATTTAAACCAAATTATGCTTTTGAGTAACTTAAAAATGATTTAATGTCTGTCTTTTCTTTTAAAAGAATGGAGTCATTCTCTGTCTGAACATTGAATGTGTCTTTCCTAACATTATCTTGTTAGAATCAAGCTGTTTTATTTGGCAGCATTCCTCACTTAATTTATAATCTGTTTTTTATGTATATAAATCTTTGTCTTTTTAAAAATTGATATTTAATTTAATTCCAAGTAGTTATTGGTTTACTAGTGATTATTACTATTTAGAAATAAATAATTTATGTGTACTTGAGCATTAAAATTTTTCTGATTATAGATTTTTATGGGATATATGTTAGAAACTTCATTAGTCATATTTAAATCTATGCTACATGACATTGTTCTTTGGAAATTTATTTCTTCCTTTATTTAGTGTTTTTTTTTCTTTCTATTTTCTAATAAACTCAGGTTTCTTAATTGTTTTCTGCTGTTTCCCGGGTGATTAGAATTGTTTTGTTTTGTTTTTTAAATATTGCCTCTTATTTAATGTGAATGATCTTATTCTAAAAGGTCGTTTCTCAGCTACTCTATTGAGAATTTGGCTTCCTTACTACTAAGTTTTCTAATTCTTCAGTTAGAAATTGTTTGGAAGGAAATACAAAAACTTATATACAGTTTGGTTTTACTTATTTAAGAAAGCTTGAATTAATATTTTCTCATTTTAGAAAGAATTTAATTCTAGTTAAGATCTAAATTATAAAATTGCAGTGAATTTGAAGTATATTGTTAGTCCTGTGCCTTTCTATCCCCCACCTAGTGGTGCCAATGGGGAAAAATATATTTATTGCCTGTCTACTGTGTTAAGATTTCTGATTAAGGAATGTACAGATCATGAATGATAATAGGTTTTATGCATTATGTGTATATCCATAAATTGTCAGTATCCACGGTTCTTCTCATAGAAAGAATTTTGAGTATAGATAAAATTTTGTTTATTGTTTCAACAAAGGGTATTGATCATTTTCTTATAATACTGAATTTAGAATTCTAGAAAATGAAATACAGTTGTAGCAAGTACAGTGTACATACAATTTGGGGTGAATGTCTTAATTTAAGTTTCCAGTTAATGTTAAAACTGAGTCAAAAGCAAATTAGGGATTTTTCCCCTAGATTTATTTGTTTCATATTTTAAAAAAATTCCAGGGCACAGTGTCATTGTTACATGTTCAGATATATGTTTACTGAATAAATTAATTCATAAGAGAAAAACAACCATTTTAGATAGTAGTTGCGTTTTTTCCCCCTGCCAACCACTAGTAGAGTCAAAGTGATTCTTTTTATGGGAAGTGCAAATTTATAACCTGTATTGATTTTTCTGCCTTATAACTTTTTTTTCCTCAAATCTTTACATTCTGTGGTCTTGTGAATCTATCTTTCTAGCTGTGATGACAATTGTGCTCTGGGTAAAGAAATCAAATGGTATAAGTTACTTGTAATATAAATATTTCCAAGCAGAAATCCCTCTGTTTCCCTACATTTGACTAATCTGACAACCTCAAGGAGAGAGACACTATTTTTGGAATTTGTTTTTAAAGAAAAGTTGACTTGAAGAAAGGAAAATACTTGCTTATTTTAATCCCACTCCCTCTCAACTTCTGTCTCTCTACTTCTTCCATCTTGATGACCAATTTTTGATATTGGTTAATTTGGTATTTAAGACAGTAAAAATCTATTCTATTAGTCTTCTCTATATGTACGTAGATTTTTCCTGGATAGATACTCCATTCACGGGGGAAATCTTTGAATTCCTATTCTGTCCTAGGCACTGTGTCTGCTGCCAGGGATAGAGAAGAAAGCAAGACACAAGATTCCTGTCCTTAAGAAGATCATATTTCATTCAGGGCACCTTCCCAGAGCTTTATGGGATAGATAATAAAAGCATTTGAGGTTAAATTAGAAATGTAATACTAACAGTTACATGAAATAATAACAATATTACTTACTGATTATTGCATCTGTTGTAGTTTAGTGATTTTTGTGTGTTTTAACAGGACTTGGGTTTGGAATACTATGTTTTGGGAGAATCTTTTGAGACTTCTGCTCCTTGGGACAGGTAATATATAATAAAATGTCGGATATTATTCAATTCAAATATGCTTTGTGAGTTGCTAACGTAATTTATTTTGGTGTATGAATACATAAACTTTCAAAATTTTGTGAAGAAGCCTTGAAACAAGGTGGCTACTTTTATTTAAATTAACATTTTCATCAGAATACCAGAACTTCCAGCCATTACACTTTTTTTTTTTTTTTTGGTTTGAGGAAAATTTATCTGTAATCCAAAAAAGGAAGGTATTATTGATGTTCACATTTTGAAGACTCTTACTAAAAACTAAATGTTAAAAATATATAATAACAAATCCCACTGTTATATATAATTATAATGTGCCAATAAGAAGAAAAAAGTACTAAATGTTACTGTTTGTTTTACTTAGCTTTAATTTAAATTTTCTTTTTTTTTTAATACTGGGATTAAACTCAGGTATGTTTTACTATTGAACTACATCCCTATCCCTTTTTAATTTTTTATTTTGGCACAGGGTCTTGCTAAGTTGCGTAGGGCCTTGCTAAGTTGCTGAGGCTGGTCTCAAACTTGCAATCCTCTTACCTCCCATCCTTCTTAGTAACTGAGATTACAGGCATGTACCACTGCACCCAGCTTTATTTAAATTCTTGGATCATAAATATGTTCTCCAAAAAGTCCCCCAAAATTTTAAAACCAGTTAATCTATTATAATATATTATGTAGCTTTTGATGTTTGTGTATGTATGTATTAAGCAAGATCTTAATTTCATTTAAGTGATTTCTGAAAGAAACCCTGTTTAAGAAATGAAGTACAGTGCTTGCTTCAGCAGCACATATACTAAAACTGGAACAATATAGAGAAGATTAGCATGGCCCCTGCGCAAGGATGACACGCAAATTCGTGAAGCGTTCCATATTTTTTGAACTCTAGATAGTACAGAGGGGTGAGAAGGGAAGGGAGGGGGCATGAGGTAATTAATGATGGTTGAATGTGATGATCATTATTATCCAAAGTACATGTATGAAAACGTGGATTGGTGTGAGTATACTATGTATATAACCAGAGATGAAAAATTGAGCTCTATATATGTAATAAGAATTGTAATGCATTCCGCTGTTACATATAAATAAAAATAAATAAACCAAAAAATATATATTTATTAAATAAGAAAATAAGAAATTAAGTACATTTCTATTTTTAAATATAAGCAAAATTCTAATATGGGAGAATATTGTAAGAAAAGGTCCAAATCGATAAATGGAAATAAATGTATAGATTTCTTTATCAGAAATACACTACACACACACACACACACACACACACACACACACACACACACACACATACTCTCACACAAATATCAGTTTGTAAATTAATATAAACTTATTTGGAAATGTCAAGTAGTTTTATTAAAAATGGACTTGTGAATTAATTTCTTCAGGAATTATATATATATATATATATTTAATATGCCTACATTTTACTTTTTCTTTTTAATATGCCTACATTTTACTTTTTCTTTATAAATTTGTGCACTATTTAAAATCTACAATAAAGAATATAGGCTATAACAAATTGCCATGAATCTACTGTTTAGATAGTATATATCATAACATTTTGTTTTTCCTAAGCTCTTTTTTGTCCCCTCAGAAAACTTTCCTATCTTATTGTCTTCACTTACCCAGGACTGTGACTATTGGTGCTCATGTTCCTTGGATTACTAGATATTAACCCAATTTATAGTATCTCTCTGTTTTCACATTTAATTTTAATAAGGAGAATAAATTTTGTAAATAAAAAGAATTACCAGCTCATGGACATTTTACACTTGAGCAGCAGAAGTAGTTTAGAGGCTTTTCATAGTGTTTTCAAAGATGATTTTAGTCTTTTAATACATCTCCTTGCTGGGTTTCTTAGTTTCTGTATACAGAATACCATAGACTGAGTGACTTAAATGTTCTTAAACAAGAAATATTTATCTCTCACAGTTCTGGAGTCTTGAAGTCTGATATTAGAGTGCCAGCATTGTCAGTCTTTGGTAAAGGCAGACTTTATGGCTTAGAGATGGCTCTCTTCTCATCGTATCCTTCTATGACAGAAAGCAGTGAGAACCCTCTCGTGTCTTATTTATAAGTGCCCAATACCATTCATGAGAGCTGTGCTTCTTCCCCAAAAGTCCCACCTCCTAATGTCATCACACTGGGGGTTAGGATTTCCATATGTGAATTTTGAGATGGACACAAACATTCTGTCCTTATCACTGGTACAGATGAGTTAGTGTAGAGGTTTCTCTTCAGCATTATGAAAAATTCATAATTCATTAATGTTAACTGATGACATTAATGAAAAGTAACTACATTTGTGAAGTAAACTTTACTTATTACACATGTACTATCTAACTTGCTTTGTTTTTTGAACTTTTAGCTAGCTGGTGACTGTTTTTAGCAGTAGCCCATGGGACCAGGACCTTCAACTTTCACACATTATTGGGTCTTTGGCCTCTTCATGCCAGGCCACTTAAAGGGTTATTGGTCTTAACTAATCTTTGTGTGTCCCATAGTGACTCTAGCACACTGACTATACCTGGTAATTTTTTTTTTTAAGTGCTCAATGAGTATTTATGTAGAGTCCTATGAATCAACTCTGGAGTCACGTTTTTGCCAGACATGGTTGCACATTGCCTGTTATCCCAGTGGCTTGAGAGGCGGAGGCAGAAGGATCAAAAGTTCACAGCCAGCGTCAGCAACTTAGTGAGGTCCTAAACTCAGCGAGACCCTGTCTCTAAATAAAATACAAAAAGCAATGGGGATGTGGCTCAGTGGTTGAGTGCCCCTGGGTTTAATCCTCAATACCCAAATAAATAAATTTTAAAAAGCTGTTTTCTTAGGAGTTGGAGATTTTAAAGATTTTGGAGATAGCAGTGGGAGTGTGGTGATTTAAACTGCTTTATACAAACAGAATGGAGTAGAGGGAAAAATAAAAGAACCTATGAAAGAAGTCCTAGGGACTTTCAACATATAGAAGATAGTCCCCCCTGCTTGGGGGGGAAAGTGATCAACAGTGCAAAATTTGCTGATAGGTCAAGTAAGAATTTTAAAGTATATACATAGTTGCATTTATATCCAAAAAAAAGATTGGTCCAGTGGACTGTATTGAACTTATCTAAATTATATGAGAATACTTTCAGAACCCCTTTCCCATAAATCATGTATAGAAACATACCTTTGGCAATT